AGTCAAAAACTAGGCCAGGAGCTGATTGTGGATCAGACAATCAATTATTTAGATACAAGTTCAAACTGAGTCTGGAGGCAGCCAAATTAAATTCAAATTTTAAAAGCATGTTTATATCTGTTATAAGGTGCTCCGGTGGTGAGTCTGCGTCATGCTGCACTAACCAAAAGGCCATGCAGCTCCAGTGGTCAGAGTCCACTAGTGGCTTCTGAAGAGAAAGATGAACAGCCTCTTCGCATTAGGATTTATAGCCTCCGAAACACACAGAGGAGCACTATGAGTAGGAAAGAAGTGAATTAAGGATGTAATTTTACATCTGTTCAAGACTTAGAGAGGTTAAGTATCGTTAACAAAAGAATAAAAATTTTTTTGTGGTAATCGTATGCCCTTTCGCTCCAAAAAAAATATAGTAGGGGAAGATCAGTGAATAAAGCCTTTCATTGCTTTTTTTTTCACTTCTCTTTTTTTATTTTTTTAATTAATTTTAATGAAAATTTACAGAGACTTTGGATTCCCATTTATTCATTCTTGCACTTTTTCTCCCTGCCCACCCCTCCCCCCAGCACACTCTTCTCTTTGAAAAGTAAACGTTCCCCCACTGTTTTACAATCCCTCCCCCCAGGTCCACTCCACTATGCAGCCTTCACTAGGGACTTCTGTCATGACAATAACACCTAATCACATAACCCTTTTAAACAGTTTTCTCTCTCATCTGTTTCAATGCAGTATACATTTATACCTCTTTCTCAGTCTCCCCCCAACCACAATGTCAGTCCTGTTTTACAACAATGGCACTATGCAGTATTTGTCCCTTTGTGACTGAGATATTTCACTCAGCATAATGTCCTCCAGGGTCACCATTTTGAATAATATTGCATGAGTTACTTGTTTTTCAATGCAACGTAGTATTCCATTGTGTGAATATACCACAGCTTCTCTATCCATTTGTTTGTTGATGGGCACTTAGGTTATTTCCAACTCTTTGCTATAGTGAACAAAGTTGTGATAAACATGGTCTCTTTGCTGGGTCAAATGGTACCTCTATTTTCAACTTTTTGAGAAAGCGTCATACTGCCTTCCAGAGTGGTTGCACCATTTTACACTCCCACCAACAATGAATAAGGGTTCCAGTTTCTCCACAAGCTCGCCAGCATTTGTTGCTTGCTGTTCTGTTAAATTTTGCTATTCTTACTGGGTTACGATGATATCTCATAGTTGTTTTGTCATTGCTTTCTCTGACAACTTAAACATGCCTATTTTCATTTTCATTAAATTAAAATTTACATTGTTGTCATAGATTCTGACTCCCAGTCACCCAAATAACAGAGTACAACTGTCCCATAGTGTTTATAAGAAGAATGACTTCTTACAGAAGTAGACTGTCACATCTTCCAAAGGATGGTAGGAGAGTGGGAACTGTCAACCTTCCAGTTAGGAGACAATTACTCTAATCATTATGTCACCCAGGGTTCCTTTAATTTTCCATGAGAGTAAATAATATATCATGTTTGATAAGGTTTTCTTGAATGACATGAAACCACATCATAGTCTTCCTCTGTTCATTATTTATTTATTATTTTATACTAGTTTACTTACAAAGTTCATACATTCTTTTTTTTTTCTTCATTGTGATTTTAATGAAAGCTTACAGAAATGTTGGATTTTCATTCATACATTGTTGCACATTTTCTTCCCTATCCCCCCCAGTTCACTTCTGGAAGGCAGTTTGGCACTTCCTTAAAAAGCTGAAAATTGTAATTCTATATGACCCAGCTATTCCACAGCTTGGAATATACCCTGAGAAAATGAGAACTGAAGCTCAAATGGAGACTTGTACACCAATGTTCATAGCAGCATTATTCACCATTGCAAGAACATGGGAACAGCCCAGATGTCCAACCACAATCGAATGGATTGAGAAATTATGGTAAACTCACACAATGGAATACTATGCAGCATGCAGCAGTAATGATTTTGTAAATTACTACCTAACTTAGGAGGGACTGGAGAGCATTATGCTAAGTGAACAAACTCAGTCCTATAAGGAAAAGTACTGTATAAAACCATTATTGTAGAATGAGTATGAGGATCTAAGGGGGGAGGAGAGTGGAAGCAGAGGGGTGAGGATGGGGGTGGATTTAATCATAGGGTTGAACAATTTAATGGGTGAGGGGGTGAAGGAAATGGGAAAGATCTGATGTGAAAAACAATGTATTCAAACTTTGTAAATAAATCAGTATAATAATAAAAATAATAAAAAATACTATTGATTTTTGCATAATTTTCTTTCGCCCTTCCCCAGCCCACTTCACTATGCACCTCTTATTGTGGACTATTGTCATACAAATAATTCCTAATCGTATATTCCTTTTAAACAGTTCTTTCCTTCATCTGATCCAATGCAGTGTTCATTATTTATGCCCTCTTTTCTTAGTTTCCTGCCGCCCCATGCCCATGTCATTCCTGTTTTGTAACAGTAATATGAAGTATTTGTCCTTTTGTGACTGACATATTTCCTCAGTGTTATGTCCTCCAGTGTCATCCATGTTGTGTAGTATTTTATGAATTCCTTGTTTTTCAGTGCTGTGCACTACTCCCTCGTGTGAATATCCATTCATTTGTTGATGGGCACTTGGGTTGCTTCCATCTCTTTGCTATGGTGAATAATACAACCATAAACATGGGTGTGCATATTATCTTTTTGAGTGGGAGCTCTGGTTTCTTTAGAGTATATTCCTAGTAGTGGAATTCCTGGGTCAAATGGTATTTCTATTTCCAACTTTTTAAGAAAGTGCCATACCACCTTCCATAGTGGTTGCAACATTTTACACTCCTACGAGTAGTGAATAAGGGTTCCAATCTCTCCATAACCTCACCAGCATTTGTTGTTTGCTGCTCTGCTGAACTCTGGTATTGTTACTGGGGTGAGATGGCATCTCAGGGTTGTTTTTATTTGAATTTCTCTGAGAGCTAGGGATTTGGAAAACTTCTTCATGTGTTTGTTTGCCATCTAAGTATTTTCTTTGGTGATGTATCTATTCATATCCTGTGTGCATTTTGTGATTGAGTTCTTAACCTTTTTCTTGTTGAGGTTCTGGAGTATTCTACATATTTTAGATATGAGTCCCTTATTCAACATGTCATTACCAAATATATTTTTCCAGTCTGTGGGTTTCCTTTCTATTCTGCTAGAGAAATTTTTAAATGTGAATAGGGATTTGATTCTCAGAAGGTCCCACTGATCCATCTATTTTAGTATCTCCTGGTTGTTTTTCAAGATGCTTGGAAGACTGCTCATTGTTCTTTCATTTTTAAAGTGGCATTTTTCAAACTCTAGATTTGTAAAGTGCTCAGTTTTATAAAAGGCAGTAAACATAAAGTTTTGAGATATGAGAGAGTTTTCAAAAAGCAAATTCTTCTTATATGATTTAAAATACCACACTCTACATAAAGTTTTCAAATTATCATAAATATTCTTTTCTATTAAGGATGAGTTAAGGACGAACAATAGTTCTCAATTTTTAAAAAATTAGATTGCGTCTATAGTTATTTGTGTCTATAGTGTGTTCTTTTTTTAAAAAAAGAAGTAATCCGCTCACCTAAGGATACTTTCAAGATATTTTATATTAAGATTAAAAATGTTTATCAATTTTATAGAGTTTTATATAATCATGGTTATATGTTTCCTGGTAATTAGCATTTGTGGAATTAAATCTATGGAAGGATGTCATAGTTCTAATATTCACTGACTATTCTTTAGGATTAATCCATCTCAAATTTTCTACAAGTTATTTATAAGATTCAAAGAAAACAGCTTTGAATTTAATGAATACTTTGCATATACCAGAAATTGAAAATGGAAAATGAGAAAACTTCTTCATTTGAGCTGTCACTCTTTATTGCCTAAAAAATAATTACTCATACTTTGTTTAGATACAGTCATCATTTTCTATATGCTACTTATTTGTACCTATAAATTCTTCTTATTCTTTAAGGTTCAAAGCAAACAGTATCTCTTCTCTATTCTTCTGTGTATTGCCACAGTCTAATCCAGTGCATCTTCTATATATCGTTTTACACAACCTCCCAACTCATAATCTCTTCTAATCTGTAAATTCCTTAAAATCAAGCTTGTTAATTTATTCACCAAATATTTATTCTCTTTTTCTGCCTCATGTTGAATAGGTAAGACATGATCTAGGTGGTTATGGAATGTCTTCACTCTACGGGGAGATAGTATCTTAAGTGCTGTAACAGAGAGTTATACTGGACTTTGTAAAAGAAGCACCTGGAGAGATAGGGAGGATTTCCCAGTACAAAATATGTGTAACTGATACTTAAACTCCTTCAAGAATGGGAACTGAATAAAAGAAAGAATTCTAAATGTAGATATAAGATGTGAAAAGGTCTACAGGTGAATTAAAGTAATTCAATATTGTTGGTGATGCGAGGCTTGAGAAACAAGCAGTGGTGGAGTGTTGCTTCTTGTACAACACTGTTCACAGGCTGCAGCTCTCCTACAACACTCAGAAGCCAAGGTAGCATAGTCAGCAAAAGAATAACAAAGACAAAATCTGTCTTTTGATTACTCTGGTCACAGTGTACAGAAAAATTAGGAAGAGGAGCAAGATTGGATGGAGGTAAAGAGGTCATTAAGGGATAGTTTTATGGGAATTTAAACCAGAATAGTGGAATTGAAGCTAGAGAAACAAAAGTTTTAAGTAATATTCAGAAAAAATTAGAAAGGATTAAAAGTTGATTGATTCTGATAGTGTCCAACATATCTGTAACAGTACAGTGTTCATAAAATATATGTTTTGAAGGTGGAAAAAATCCCAATAAAACAAAAACCTTCTACCACCTTCTTAAGATATTTGAAACAACAAAGAATCTCACAATCAAATGATAGATTCTACATTATCTACCTTATAAAATCATTAAAATCAATAATGAGGAAGTCACTAGAGTTGCCTTTATATAGTAAATGCAGCTTACATTACCTCCTCGTCTGCCAATCCTTCTTCTTCCATGGCTACTTCTAACTTCTTCTGCCTTTTGAAAAGAAAAAAAATTCTTTTAACTAGGATCTTAATTAACTACCATTTAGAAAAGACATATTTACTTATTCACATTCAAGTTTACTTATTCACTTCAAGTTTCTTAGCTAAAACACAAAATCTTTTGAGTTATATACAATGAGAATTTAAGAACAATCCTTCTCAAAATAGTAACAAAGATTTAGCTCTCTCATACAAGCCAAATAAATAGTGCACTTATTAAACTTATCTTACCCTCCTTCTTAAAGGAATCATTAGTTAAGATGACTTAACAGTCTAGTATTAAAAACTTTTATTAATGTTCATGCTATAACACTCATAAATGTTTATCAATGTTTTTGCTGGAGGTGTACAAAGGTAAATAAAGCGGCTAAATGTAAAAAATTTAAAGTAGATACGCCTATGTTTGAATCCTGGTTCTAATGCTAGAGAAGCCCACCATTCCAATGAGGGATACATTCCAAGACTCCCAGTGAGTGCTGGAAACGGGGGTTCAATGCATCACGGCTGAGTCACTCTGACTCCAGTGAGCCTCTGTCAGGTTTCTGAGGCTACAGCTCTTTACTGGAGGAGACCGTCTATCTTTCTCCTGCAGGGTGACTGGTGTATTCGAACCAGTATCCTTTCAGTTAGTGTTCATAACCCAGGTTCAACGGTTCAACAAATGCTCTCTAGGGAAAAACTCAATTTCAGTGTTCAAAACTTCTTTAGGTTCCTGCCTTCACATAACTGCTGGCTTGTCTATTCCTTTCATTTAAGATTACACATGAACTCAGATGATTTTAATAATTTTAACTGTATGTTGTTTTCAGTGTAAAGGCTGATCTGGGCACCCAGTCTACCATGTTATTAAAATGGATTCTATGATATCAACTACCACTTTCACATAAATGACTTGATTTTGGTATATCTATCTCTCACATGAAGTCTACTCCTTGGAAAAAAGACATCATGCTAAGAAAGGGAGAGAGTCATTGAAAGATAGGTCAGCTCTCAAGGAGATGAACTGATGGACTGAAATGTAACAATGGGCTCAAGCACATGAGAGATTTTGAGGATGGACTGTGACAGGGCAAAGTTTTGGTGTGTTGTTCATAAGGTTGCTATGAGGGAGATTTTGTGCTACAATCTCAAAGGCACAGAGTTCAAATTCACCAGCTGCTCTGTGGGAGAATGCAATTAAATTGCCTCTGAAAGCCCACTGGAAGTTTCAACTTGATGGCACCCAACAATGCCATCTAACAACAAGAGCAGCAGTAATATCATCTCTCAATTCCTAATTTCCTTTTTTATCTGCCAGGTTAAGTTCATAATTCATTCCATCTAAATGTTTTCCCAAGAAATCCTGCTGGCATAGTATGTAACGTACAGGGCTGTTAAAAGAAAGGCTAAGGGTTTGAATATACCAGTTGCTCCAGAGAAGAAAGTAAATCTTGTAAAGATTTACAGCCTCCTAAACCTGAGGGAGGGTCGATATGAGTTTGGTTTGGGTTGAAATATCTTCCCAGAATCTCAAATGTCGTATATCTACAATTAAGTTCAAAACCTAGTTCTTCTGCTCTTATTCCTAACTCCTAAATTGAATCACTATCCCTTCAGGTGTCCAAACATGAAACTTCAGAGGAAGATTAGCTTATTTCACTCTCATTTTGTATTTGGATGGTTAACACTTTATTAATCCTCTCACCTGTCATTTCCTCTCCTGTTGTCACATTCCTGGTTGAAGCCTCCTCCCCATTTCCCGTGACTACATCGCTAGCTTTTAATGCTTCTCATCTTTCTTTCCACCACCTGCTCAGCCCAATCCATTCTGTACTGCGAAGTAAAGTACTATCTGAGAAAGACCTCAGATCTTTTCATTTTTCTGTTTGAGAATCCTCATGTCTACTACCTGGGACTAGCTACCTTCACAACAGCATCTAGGACTTTTAAATGTTGACATTTCAGAACTTCCTGGGCTAAAATTGACACTTGTCCGAGTAGCCCCGGAGGTCTCTAATACCCATCTCCAGGTCTCTTTCTCTTTAAGAATGTTTACTTTTCCCAGAGTTATATTTAAATGTTACCACCATTTTCATAGCCTTCCTAGTTGCTTTAGTCAAAATCCACTTTTCCCTTTTTTTTGCCCTATTAGTGATATTTTTCAGTCTTTCTTATAATGTTGATGTGCATTATTTCCTTTGCTATATGTTTCCTGAGGGCAAGATAGCATTATTTTATTTTCATGCCTCTGTTCCCAATATGGTGAATTTTAAAATTTAAAGCCAGTCAAACATCCTTCTTTAAAAAAATAAAACAAAACAGGGGAGTTCTGGTGGCCTAGTGGCAAGAAACTGCATTGCAATCCCAGAAGTATGTGGTTCGAATCCACCAGATACTTTCCTGGAGAAGGAGGGGCAATCTCCTCCTGTACCAGTCAGATCTGATTTGATGGTACACACACAAAAATAATAAAGTTCAAACAAACAAACAAACAAAAAGCCAAAAACAAAAACAATGTCATCATAACCTCTTGGGTAGAAAAGTTTTGTTTAAACTATCAATTGAAAATGTGTTATCGGTAAACGGGTCCAGAGGACTTTGGGTCCCCTCAGGTAAATTCTTTTAAAATAGAAGAAAAAAAAAAAGAATACAAATTACTTGGTGCTTTGTAAGCTGTTCAGGTAATTTAGAAACCACATGCAACTATCTATAATGCTCCTATTATTCGCGGAAATCATGTTTAAACTTTACTCACAGTCTAACAGTTTACTTAATGAGGCAGGCAAACGTGACTAGCCTTACTATACCTGGTTTCTCTTTCTTCATGCTGTAGTATCAGATTGCTATAAAAATTCTCCAGTGTGAGCTTGGCTACCGTTACTCTCTCCCGGGTATGGTTGCTCATAGGAAAGGTGGTTGCCGTCGTCCCTGCCGTCATTGCCATAGTAACAGAAACTAGAGTGAAGAAAAAAACCAAAAAACACCATATTAAAACAAATTGCTCAGGGGGGACTAAGATGTTAAAGCTTTTTTCCTCTTTCACCAAAAACCTAAGACTCTTAAGAGTTAATGCAATTTACTTAAATAGTAAAAAGTAATTTATGTTCTATAAATTCTGTGAAGCAGGAAGTGTTAAAAAAAGTATGCATACAAGCATTAGCCCAGTCCTTAAATCCCTCTCACTCACTACCAACGAGTCAGAACCAGCTCAGAGATGACCCTCCAGTCGATTTCTGAGGCTGTAAATTACACAGGAGAACAGGTTAGCAATTCCCTATGGACTGGACTACAGCTCTACAGCTCCCTAGGAGTATACTACTTCTAGGAAAAAGCCCCTTCGGATGAGGTCCACAGCTGTCCCTTTCATTCTGAATTTCACGTCACTATGCCAGTGCACTCCCAGAAGAACAGACATGTCTTGGAGAAGGTGCAGCCAGAGTGCTCCTTGGAAGCAAAGATGAGGAAGCTTCATCTCACATACTTTGGGCACGTTATTAGGAAAGGTTATTCCTTAGGGAGGGCCATCATGCTCAGGAAGGTAGAGCAATGGCGAAGGAGAGGAAGACCCTTAACCAGGTGGACTGACACAGTGACTGCAGCAATGGGCATGAGGGTGTCGAAGATTCTGAGGATGGCACAGGATAGGACAGGGTTCAGATCCGTTCTTTATAGGGTTGCTATTGTACTCAACTCAACAGCACCTAACAAAAACAACCAGAAGAGCAGACAGATTAGTGTGTTTAAAGGGAATTCTGTTGGCCTAGTAGCAAGAAGCTGCACTGCAATCCAGAAGGCACGTGGTTTGAGTCCACTGGCTGCTCTGAACAATCTTCTCCCAGGTAATTAACTGTTTCTGAATACACACTGAAGGGTCAGCTATGGGTCGGTTCTGACTGAGTTTTGTTTAAAGCCATTCAAGTGTCAATTTTTGAAAATCCATGAGCATGCCAAAGTATTGGTTTTAAGAAGACAGTTTGGACAATCACACAAGATAAAGAACATGGCTGCTTCATAAGGTGACAGGCTGAATTGTGGTGTGTCTTGTACACATGTACTGATGCTGTGAGACCTCTTGTGAGGCGGGCTACATCTATAAATTAAATAATCCCATATATTAAAGATGTTTCTGTTTATCTGGATTGAGATTCTAACAGTTCATCCTAGAGAAGATCCAGATACCAAAAAGGATCATCCAGAGTTGCATTCTGAAAGTATTTCTGCAAATCTGTCATCTACGCCCTACTTCTCTTTAACTATATGAAGACACAGACTGCTGGTTATGGACCTAAAACAATGGGAAAAACCCAAAAAAGACCTTTCCTGTTCTTTAATGGGAAGCAAGTCAAGGATGTTCATTGCTGTCAAGCTGTTTCCACCTCATCACAACCCCATATAGCAGAGCAGAACTGCCCCATAGGATTTCTAAGGCTGTGGCTTAGTGGTAAGGAGTTGAACTGCCAACCCAATGGTTTGTTGTTGGAATCCACCAGCTGCTCCACAGGAGGAAAATGGGCAATCTCCTCCTATGTGATTTACTCTGGAAACTCACTGGAGGTTGAGCTATGAGTTGGTTTCAATTCAATGATACATAACAACAAACAATCGTTATGCAAGTACATGACTGCCACTACCTTTCTCCCTTGAGAGTGCTAGTGAGTTTGCACCTCTGACTCTCTGTTAAGTAGCCAAATGCTTCACAACTACACTACGAGGGCATACCAAAGTGTAAGTTGAAAGCAAACAACTTAGTCAAGATAAACTCTTCATCTCATTTGTGGCCTTATACTTCAATGAACAACTTGAGCTTCAAACTTGCCATGTCTAAATCAGTATTAATTGTTTCCACATCATGAACTAGCTCCTCTATTGATTATACCTTTCTAAGATGGGAAGTTGGTACCATGTTTTTAAAATCATTCTAGACTCCTCACTACCAACAGGTAATTAGACTAGCATGATAAACAAAGGCAGTTCACATACATTAAGTACTGGTCAATACCAGAAACTTGATAATATTCTATTCATTGACTTACCTACATTTTTCTCCCTGAGGGATGTAGACACTTTTATATGTGCTTGTACTTCATCCTCACAAGATCCTTAAGGTAGGAAACTGAGGCTTTGAAAAGTTACAGAGCTTGTGAACTGTGTAGTCAGGACTCCAGCTCCAAGTCCTGTCTAGTCTTATCTGTTGTTCCTCCTCACCATTCACTCTTCCCCCTATGCAACCTGATACTTTCACATCTTCCAGGCCTTGCATGATCTATCCTTGTACCACTTATTTCCTGTACTTTTTCTGTGTGCAGGAACCCAGCCAGAAAGAGATAACATTTGACACTCCTTTGTAAGTGCTCTTTAGTACCTATGCCAATATCTTTCAAACACTGGTGCTTATCATTTCATTTGCCTATTCAATTAAACTAGGAGCAACTCTAAACACGAATCTTTTAAAAATAAATTTTTTAACATTCACAACAGCATCATATTAATTTCAATTAGTTTTTATTACATTTAACATTCACACTGTATGTCTGTATGAATGAAGGGCTAGCCTATTAGATGAGGGAAGGGAGAATGAAAAGAACTAGCAAAAAAGTAAAGTATATCCACTCACTTATCAGCATGGTTTGATCCTCAAAACCAGGTCATTATGCAAAAATGGAAGTTGTTCTCATCTAACCACAAAATAGAGGATGACTATATCTTCACCTAAGTGCCAATTACATAACTACTGAATTACTGAGAATCTTGGACTAACTAGCCAAGCTGACACATAACTTTACCAGTTCCAGTCAGTATTATTCTCCCAGCATTCCTTACAGCTACACATGTCATTAATAGGCAAAATATCTAAAGTAGATTTTTTATTATTGTTGTAAGCACAAAATGCCAGATAAGTTAGTTAATAAGAGTAAGTACGCTCTCTAAAGTATAGCTGTGGAAAGAAAAATCCAGGTTTTAGTGCTGTTTTGGTTATCTATTGATACTGAAACAGAAATAAGCAAAAATTTGTAAGTAAGTACTTTAAGAAGCTGAGATTTATTTTCTCACTGTTTAGGATGTTAGAAGTCTGAAATGGGAGAAGGCTTTCTTTCTGTGTTAGCTCTGGAGAAAATTTCTTGACTCTTCGGTGATCTCATGTGGCATGACAATTATCTTCCACCATTTCTGCTTGCTTGTTTCATCTCTTTCATATTTCAAAAGAGAGTGACATGCTCTGCAGTAATCTTGTAACATTAGCATAACAAAGACAACCCATTCTGAAATGCGGTTATAATCAGAGGTACAAAGGTCAGAATTTACAACATGCTTTAGGGGAATCTACTTCAGCCCGGCAACTGCTAATTGATCACATTATTGTTGTTGCTGTGGACCACAGAGTCAGAATCGACACATAGCTGACCCTCTGGCAGGTTTTCAGAGGCAGTTAATCACACAGACGACTGCCCACCCATCTCCTGCAGAGCAGCTGGTGGCCTTGAACCATGTGCCTTTGGGATTGCAGTGCAGCTCCTCAAATCACCAAAACACTCTGAACTCAAGTAACTATTCCCTTAGAGACAGGGGTTACAATATTTGTTTGGCCTGTAGTTTATGGACCTAATCTAAGACCCTAAGAGATAATACATCGCAGAATGGCTTATGCTGGTTTATAAAACGGACAGTTTTCTCAATCACCTGCTATGCATCAAAGAGCTGGATGATGGATAAGGATAACAGAAGTGAGGACTTTGAGTTGTGGTGGTAGAGTACTGATATCCCATGGACTGCCAGAAGAACAAACAGAAATGTCTTGGAAAGTGGAAGCAAAGATTGGTCAAGTTTCATCTTTCATACTTTGGATGTGTAACTAGGTGAGGTCATTCCTTGAAGAGGGACATCATGATTGGAAAGATGGAGAGTCAGTGAAGGAGAGAAAGACTAGAGATGGGTTGACATGGTGACTTCAGCAATAGGTCCTAGTGTGTCACAGATGATGAGGATGGCACAGGACAGAGCAGGGTTCAGGTAACTGTTAATGGAGTCCTTATGAATCCTACTCTATTAGCACTTAATAACAAAAATAGCTTAATTAAACTGTTTTGTGATAAATGTTGTTAGGAAAGATATTCCCTGGAAAGTTGTAGGGTCAGCAAAAGAGAAGAAGACCGTCAACTAAATGGATTGACACAGAGACTGTGAACAATGTGGCTTCAATGTGTCAAGAGATGATGAAGACGGCACAGGGTTCAGATCTATTGTTAATAGTGTTGTTACAAGTTAGATTCAACTCTATGACACCTAACATCAACAAGAACAAATGCTTTTGTAATGATATTTTTATAAACCCCAATAAATAACAAAAATAAACTAAAAAACTTTCATGGCTAAGTAATTCTAAATGTTAAGCTGCTCTTCTTGAGTTGATATCTAAGACAATACTACCAAACCATTTTTGGAGATCTTAGCATCACTAAGATCATCATACAGAACATTTCAGGACTAGATGCAGAAAAGTACTGAAGGAAGAAAGAAAAAGTGAGTCCCTTCCCAAATGAGGTATTTACTGGGATTTACTAAGAGGAGTATATAGGGTTTTCAGAGGCTTGTTACTTAAGAAGTAGATGACCAATCCTGCTTCCTCGTCTGTTATGATAGATGGAGAAAGACTGAAACTATCAACAACTTCATTTTACTTGGACCCACAACTAACACCATTGACTCCAGTAGTCAGGAAATTAGGAGATGTATTGTACTGGGAAAGTCTGCAGTTAAGGACCTCTCCAAATTATTGAGGAGTATGATGTCAGTTTGAGGACTAAGATGCGTCTGATTCAGAACATCATCTTTCTGTTCACTTGCTAGGCATCTGAGAGCTGGACAATGAATAAGGATGACAGAAGAAGAACTGATGCTTTTGAGCTGCAGTTGGAGAAGAACACAAAACATCCCACGGACAGCCAAAAGAACAAATA